CCTCGCTTTAAAATACTTATGGATTGTATTTCAGCACACCAGATAACTAAACTTGGATGAAATCCTCATGTAAAACCAATCGTTCAAATGCCTTTAATGCACTTATCAATGCCTTTCAGTATTAAAATATGTACTTGAACATGTTCCGTGTTTTTGGACAATTCAAGACAAAAACATTTTGCAATACCTTTCTTTGTTGCCTTTTCACTAGAACGTGTCAGGATACCAGAATCACCCTATGTAATGAAAGATTTCAAAACGTACAGTATTATTATTCACTTTTGATGTATCGATAGTAGTGGTATATTTTGCAACTTGCCTCAAACACATTTACGGGAGCTAGCTGTCTCCACGATTATAATTATTCTGTATTTTGTTCTTGCTATAATAATATACTATTTACAAATTAGCAACAGTCGGATTAAAAGAACCTCAAAATAATTTTTCACATAGGAAGGAGAACAGCAATGAAGAAATTCTCAGAACTAACAGTAATTTATGGGTTAACTTAGGAAATATTATTAAGAGCTAGTAGTTATTCATGATGAACTTGGAAATTAGGTAACATTTTTTTCAAATGAGCCACACCCCTGTACATGGGCAGGGAGGTGAATATGTAACAAAGAAAACTATAATGGTAACATTACTCATTAAACTTGCAACTCTGTAAAATCAAATTTTAAGGTTCGAAATGACTGTGAAGCAATTAATATTAAGATACTTGCATGTATTTAACAATTGTTAACATTCAGGAATTCAAATATAATTAATTGATAGGTACTTCCTCATTGTCTGGAACACAATACTTGACCTATACAATTATTGTCTTTGAAAATGACCTTAAACAACTTCAGTAGTAAGCCTTCTGTAAACCATGCTATGTTAATATACATGGTTTCACACAAGGAACAATATACAAGATTTATTGAAGTTTGACAAAGCTAATTTTTACAAGTACCTCTTTTGGCAATGGTTCTCCTAATTCTTCGGACATTGTTTCTAGCGTACAAGGTGTGCATGTATCAAATAATCCCAACTGTTCTTGAGCCCCATCTAGCAGAAAATTAACACAAAATTTCATGAAAGTACTTCATTTGAATACAAGTATAGCATTTATTCCAAAAGAACTGACAACAAAAACAAGAGAAAGAATATGGTTGTACCTTTCTTCATGTCCATTTCACAGGAACATGTCAGAACCTCTGGATCACCCTAATTAAACAAGGAATTAATGGTGTGTTTTAAAACTATTTGCTTATAATAAATAAAGGTTAAAGTTGAAAAGGATGAAAAGTTAATTAACTCATCACAGAGCTTAAGCTCTGTGAGCAGGCAAGACGAACCAAATCCTGTGCTCAGTGATCTGCAACCTGAGGAAGCAAGATGGGACTATATATATATCTTGCTTTTGAATAAACTACAGAGAGCTCATTGTACAAATTAGCCACAGTCAGATTATAACAACCTCAAAATAATTTTTGACGAAGGAAGGAGAACAGCAATGAAGAAAGTCTACGAAATAACTGCTACCTAACAGTAATTTATAGGTTAACTTAGTAAATATTAAGAGTGATTATTAATGACAAACTTGGAAAATTTAGGTAATCTTTTTTTCAAAAAGAGCCACACCCCTTTACATGAGCAGATGGAGGTGAATATGTAACTAAGAAAAAAACTATCATGGTAACATTATTCATTATGCTTACAACTCTGTCAAATTAAAGATGTGAAATGACTGATGAAGTACGTACTAAGGATACCCACATGCATGTAACAATTGCTAATACTCAGGAATTTATATATAATTTATTGCTTATATAAGTTCTTAAATTGACAGTCTGGCTGTGGAACACAATACTTGACACAATTATACAGTGGAACCTGTACATGTATAATGTAAGCACACCCCATATCAAGCAGACACCCTCTATAAACTGGACACCAGCTTGAGACCCTAAATTCTCCTCCCACATTTACAGTAAAGTAAACCTGCATTGAGGGAAGAAGCATGTTGAGTGGATGCCGACACCAATATTAAGCCATTTTGCTGCAAAAACCTGCAATAAGCAGACACTTCAAGGGCTCTTTACTTCTAAAAGCTCAGCTCAGACACCTTTATAGCATTGTTCAGCGATGTTGTTTTAAAGCTAAGAAAATTATTCTAGATTGATGCACTGACTGATGACTCAGGACATTCTGCTATGAGCAGTCTTTGATCTTACACTGTGTTAAGCTCTGTTACAAAAGGGTTAAAAATGAACTTTTATTGCTCAATATATTAGAACCTGTTTAGAGTGAACACTCTGTATAAAGCCGACATTTGCAGCTGCCCCAAGGGTGTCAGCTTAATACAGGTTTCACTGTACAACTACTGTCTTTGAAAGTAACCTAAAAAACTTCAGTAGTTAGCTTATGTTTTCAATCCCGAATGTAAAAACAAAGAGGTTTAGAAATACTTTGATAATGCACTATGCAAATAAACAACAATTGTAAATAGAATTTTATACTATTTTGATGTATTTTATTATTATATAATTTTRTTATGTATYGTTAGGAATTTTTATAGTTTGAATTTTTTAAACATGTAGTATATAACACAAGTAATTCAGCTTATAGCTGCAAGTTGTGAGTTTAATAAACGATTTATCTTTATCTATCTAAACCATGCTATGTTAATTAATATACACACTTGCACACAAGGAACAATATAACAAGATTTACTGAAGTTTGACAAGTACCTCTTTTGGCAATGGTTCTCTTAATTCTTGGGACATTGCTTCCAGCGTACAAGGTGTACATGTAGCGAGATTTGCCAACTTTTCTTGAGCCCCATCTAGCAGAAAAATGATCACAGAATTTCATTAAAGTACTTCAATTGAATAGAGGTATAACATTTATTCCAAAAGAACTAACAACAAAACAAATGTACCTTTCTTAGAGTCCATTTCACAAGAACATGTTGGGATCTCTGAATCACCCTAATTAAACAAGGAATTAATGGACAGGTGTGTTTTACAAAAGGCTAAAATGTTAATTAAGTCATCACAGAGTTCATTAACCTCTACGAGCAGGCAAGATGAACCACATCCTGTGCTCAGTGATGGGTCTCTATATCTTGCAAGTGAATAAACTACAGAGAGCTCATCAAAAGTGCCTGTTCCTCTCCAACACTGATGAACTTCCGAGGCCTACAGTGTGTATGTTCAATAGCCCTCCACCTCAGGTCCTTCATTATTGATAGCAAAGGCACGACAATATTAATTACAACTGCAAAATGTTCTAAGTTTTTTAAGTACCAGAAGAAGCAACTGGAAGATTACCAGTTGTTGAATTCCAAAAACAGGTACAGCATTACAGCAGAGAAATTTGAGAAACATTTTTTTAATCAACAGCATTACATAATACCACAACATTTTAATAATGCTTATTTATTTCATATTTGGAACAACTAACTTCAATACAGTGTAAGTACCTCTTTTAACAGCAGTTCCAATGATTCTGGTATTGAAATTATTCCAATTTTTGATGGTGGTTCTTCAGCCCCATCTGTTGAAAAAAGAGTGCAGGTGATTTCATTGTATAGTGCTAATTTACATGGATGACTGCATAATAATTAATAATGATAATAACATGTGCTCATGTGCATAGACACATTAGGCAATCATTTAGAGTTTGAACAGAGTGATTGTCATAAGCTACATAATTTTTTTTTTTTTTAACAAACGGTTTTCAATTAAGGACTATTGGAAGCTTGCAGACCAACCTAGAACAAACTCCTTTCATTAGGCATCAACAACTTAACCAGTCAACCTTACAAATATTGACTTACTCTAGTGGATTAAGGCATCGGCATCCTTGGTGAAGCCAATTCTGCTGTCTAAATTATTAACCTGTGTTAGTCAGCTGAACTTCATTGCACATTTTGATTTTGTAAACGCAATTTTACTGCATGTATCCAGATTCCTAAAATTGTGGCTGCTTAAACACTGGTAAATCTAGCGTGCATTAGACTTTTAGTTCATTCACTGTATGCAATAGCCAACAATCAATTGCAAGCTCTCTTGGTATTTTGGAATTTTGGCAAGAAAACTAATGAATGGACCACAAACAGAACAAACTTTATTAAAAACTAGTTACAATCAATCACTTACTGTTGGCAAACTTCACAAGAGTCATAAAAACTAACAACATTATTGCTAAACTGACCAAACAATTTCAACAAAACAGAACAAAAACATCATTGACTGATCAACAAACAATTCACTGTTTGCTAGACTGTGAAGATGATTTCTGCTGATGATTGAAAAGCAGAATGACCAAAGCAATTTCTTTAAGAACTAACCTGACAACCAGAACTAGATCACTCTGCACAAACTACTGATACTCTGAGGTTCCATGTATAGGAAACACTGATGATTGTTACATATAGCTTTAGTTTAGTTGAATCTATCATTCTGCCATGGGCTGTTATTGGTTGATTTATGGTCACGTGGCAATGGCTAAAGCTAAAAGCTTGCCCCAGCGGCTAACAGTTACACAATTGCTGCCAGCTCTCCCACTTACCAGAGGTTTTAAAAGTACTTTGACTTCTAACTGCTTCATTTAACCTCACACAAAACTCAAGCTGTATATTAACAAAACACAATTTAACTAGTCCCTTGAGAAACTGGCAACATTGAGATTCTCAGGAAACCAAACCTGTTTCCCTCAGGAACAGTGACTGAGTGTATAACATGGTAAAAAATGAGTGACTAAATATGGTCAAATCTAGATATATAATTTTAGGTACATAAAATAATCAAGGCTGTCAATTCTTACCTGCATCAAGTGCACCTGAGCCCTTTTCAGCATCACTGCGACAGTACCAAAAGCAATCATTTGCGTGCCCTGTCTTGTAAATGTAAACACAGCCACAAATTGCTATCAGGGCCAGTATTACAACAGGAATGATGGCTGCTGTCCAGAAATCCTGATCTTTTCTTTGAGTAGGAGGTTTTCGTTCAGTAGGAGGTTCAGTTTGTTCACTTTTGGAACCTCGGCTTGGACTGGTGTAGTTATCAGGGGTAGCTGTTATCTCCTTGGCAATTGTTGTGAGGTTATGTGGAGATCTCACCTTGGTTGCCTTACCACAGCGGTTTACACTGGTGTCAAAAGAGCAGATCATGTTAGAGC